TGCAACAAATAAATAAATTTTAAACATGACGATTTAAATGATTGATTTTAAAAGGGCTTTAAGATGTACTTGAATTTAAGATTTCTCACGAAATCCGTTTTAAAGTCAAAATTAAATGGCCCGATTGAATTGGCTAGTTTTAGAAAGACTTTTAAAGAGCATTTGAAATAAGAGTTCAAATGCTGCTATGTTTGAAAGATATTTTTAGAACGTTTTATCTTAACTGAAATTAAGAAAAGCTTTAAGAAATTTAGTGATTCACTTATTTGAAATTTTTGTTACAAATTATGAAAGTATTCTTTCTTATATTAAAAAAAAAATGTTCCGCAAATTTTAAGAAACCCCAGTAAGTACAAGTTAAAGTTTAAGTTACAGTGGCGGCCTCATAGGAGGGTCGTCACAGTTCCTGGCAGCAGTCCATATTCTTCGGTCAAATACCCATCCTCAGTGAACAAAATCATGAGGAAGAGAGCTGCATCCCCTTTTCTTCCCGTTGGTCTTTCTTCCTTCTCGTTGGTCTGCTTCCTCTCTCACGAGAAAGCTTCTGCTCTGCAAAAAAGCCTTGAGTTTCCCCTCAAATCAACCGACCATCATTCATGGGTTCTTGTCAGCAGTCAATATACTTCCATTACCGACGGTCAATAACCCATCCCCGGTGAACAAAGTCGTGGGCAGGCAGCTGCATCCGGTTCAAACCCATCTCAGATCGTGAATTTTAGCGAATCCCGATTCTGTTGTCGGCCGTCTCCCTCAGAGATTCAACACGGGAGAAATCGATCCCACGCGAGTGGACCGGCGTCTTCCATTGGCTGTGATCTTGAGTCGATGTAGTGCCAAACACCGTAGAGTTGTATTATTTATATATGTATATATATATATGTCTATATATATTTATGAAAAATAATTGATTTTGTGCTAATTGGGTGAATGTTCACGTTTTAGAGAACATAAATGCATGCCAATGTTGGGTTGTAATTGGAGTTTGGTATTTGTGCAAGTAAACACAAAACTTAAGTTTCAAATGTTAAATCAGTCAACACCTAAACACTAAACTCTAAATTCCAAATTAAACTCAAATTTTCTACAACTCAAATCTTGTTTTTTAACTCGAATCATAAATTTGAGTTAGTGAAGTAAACGGGCCCTAAATTCATCTGAGTACACTAGTCTCAGTATATTTTTATATTGACAGTATTTATTACTCCAAATGATTAGATAGCATGAGTTGGCATGACTGGTCTATAGTTACTAATAATATTGTAACAGAGAATTTATTAGTCTTTATTACAACACAAAGTTGTTTGTTATTATTGTTTCTAATTTACCATGTAGATAATTATGAATTTCTCGGATAAGTTTAACTAATCTCGAAACTAATTGCCGATTTTAACGAGAACAGTAATTATGGTTATCAGCGCGTAGCTTTTCCTTGTTTCTTCCATTCATTTGCAAAATTCATCGGAATCGTCTCATTCCGGGATTTCGTCACATACGGCTACAGAATTATTTACAACAAAATTCTGCAATTTACAACTCAATCATGTAATCAAATGAATTCTTTGATTTTCCATTTCACAAAGCGTATTAACATAGTTAGAAAATCTAACAGGAAATTCATTATCTAAATTCAGGAAATTTCTCGAGTTTAGGCTAATGAAATTTCTAGACATTACAAAATCGGTTGGCAAATTTGTTCCCTCCTATTCCATGACAACAAATCTCCTGCCGAAGAGCATCTGCACCAAGGTTGATGGCATCCTTAGGGACTTCTCGTGGGGAAAGACCGGAAAGAAAATTTACTGGCGGCCATGGGACCGAGTCTGTAGGCTAAAAATATATGGAGAGCTTCGACTTCAGAAAACTTATGACATGAATAGAGCCCTTCTAGCAAAGTGGGGCTGGGAGCTAGTTAATAAATCCCAAGCTCTATGGGCTACGATAATCTGGGCAAAGTACCTCAAGGGATGCAATTCTTTTACAGCAAGAGCAAAGCTGATTGAGTCAAAGTTCTGGAGGGACCTGCTAAAGATTAGGGATATCATTGAAAAGGAGGCTTGTATCTTTGTTGGAAATGGAACACGTACAAACTTCTGGTCTGACCCTTGAGTCCTAAAGCACAGCACCTTCTGGCCAGCCCTCACCTTCTGGCCAGCCCTCATCTACAGGGAAGCAATTGGTTACTACAAGGTTTTGAATTTCATACAAGATCTGGGAATATAGGATGAGGACAGAGTCTGGCGCTGCTTCCGCCAATCTGATCCAAAACAATCCTGCGAACCCCAATTCCTACAGAAGCTGAGTAGGATAGCTAGATCTAGACATCGGAAAACAACGGAAGTTTCTCAGTGAAATCAGCATACGGTGTGCTCTGCAAGGACAGATATGAGGAAGACCTAGAGGGTGCTAAGTTGTGGAAGGAATTATGGAGCTCGAGAATCCACCTATGACACAAACTACTTTGGTGGTCTACCCTTGTCAAAGCTCTTCCTGTTAGAGAAGGCCTGGCAGCCCACGGGAGCATTAAAGACACAATTTGGCCTCTGTGTCACGAAGAGAATGAATCTATTACTCACATTTTTCTATTTTGCAGGATCACTAGAGTCATCAAGTTTCTTTCACAATTAAGTCTCAGGTCCAAAGCCCTTAATTGCTCTGCAATGAAAGAGTTTCTAAAACTGATCCTATTTGGAGATGCTCATTTCAAACCTACGACGGAGTTCTTATTCTTTTCATTCTCAACCTTGGAATCAATTTGTTAAGCTCGAAACGAAGCAGTGTTCAGCAATCGAGAGTTCAACATAATGTCCATCTATAGTGAATGCAATCGTCAATATCTTCACCACCTTCAATATATGCCAAAACCCCCCACAGCGATCCTCGAGATCTTTATTGGAAATCACCACCTAATGGCTGGGTCAAAGTGAATGTGGACATCTCAATGCGAGAGCACCATACAATGGCAGCACTAATTACTAGGGACCACAACAGCTCGCTCTTAGTCACAAGTACCATGAAGACTCTCTCCAAAAGCATGGAGAATTGCCTTTGGGCTCTAAAGCACATCAAAGCAGATTGTGATGAGCTATTTAATTGTTTTGAGGCTGCTGACTTAGCTTGGATAAATATAAGATGCAATTTTGCTGTCCACAATTTGGCAAAATGGGCTAGAATAGGACTCGTTTCCGGTGACATCCCCTTCAACCTTATCCCTTCAGAAGTTCTCAAAGACACTACGGAATGATTCCCCTTTGATGGGCCTTGGTGTCTTTAGTCTTTTCTCTTTCGTTTTCAGTAGCATAGTTTTTTTTTTTTTTCTCTCTCTCTCTCTCTGTTCTAGTTGCTGTCTTTGTGTTGTTATTGTTGTCTTTTCATGTGTTCTAATGTTTGAATTTTCTGTCTTCTCAGTTTCACTTGTTTGTGCTTGCCCTTTGTGGTACTTAATGAAAAATTCATTTAGCAAAAAAAAAAAAAAAGAGAGAAATTTTCAGGTTAAACAAGAAGGGAAAAAACCCTACCTCTTGGCAAATCAATCTACGGATAACTTCTTGTGATGGTCAAATCTCATTAGTTCTCGAAACTCCAAGTCCAACGGCATCGTTAGCACTGTTAATGAACCAGCGATTTAGAACCAAATCAAACTCAAGCATAATCAGGTTCAATTATGCAAAACTTGTTTCTTTACTAGTGTGCCATAACAACATATCAAAGTTTTCAAATAAAAACCATAACTCAAGTTGAAATTTTATAGATTAAAATTCAGCAAGATGTCCATGATAAAGGATAAAAAATGGACATAAAGGTCTTATCAAGGGTCAAAGTTTTGGGGAAAATTTTGAGAAGCGAGGTTCCCCGGCTTTACATGTGAATAACTACACTTTACAAGTGGTACTAAGACAGTAAGACTCGTACATAATTTTTTCAAGGATAAAAAATGGACATAAAAAATTCTCATATCAAAAATTTTTTGTGTGTTCTATCCTCTCCTCTCCTCGCCGTTCGAAGCGAGGTTCCCCGGCTCCGTTCACCGGCCTCTCTCTTCGTTCGCCGGTTGATCTCTCCGTTAGCGGTTCGGAGCTCGTTTGGTTTCTCCTCCGCCCGATTGATCTCTCCGTTGCCGGTCTCCCTTCTCCTCCTCCGACTGCCCGTCTCTCGTCATCAGATCAAGTGCTTTATTTTCATTTCTTGCGATCTCTCTCTCTGGTTCTAAACAAGTGCTTTATTTTCAAACTCTTTGTGGATCTGTTATACTTAAATTTAGTGTATATTTTCTCGTATTTGCGAAGTGGTTAATAATGTTTATGGAGAAATGTTTTAGGATTTTCGTTTGTTGTTTCTGCTTATTTTCTGCTTGGCTGAGTTGAAAGTTTGAAGGAAATTTTAGATTTAGGATTTTAGGTTTCCTTTGATATTGATGATGATCTAAATTATGTTCTTCTGTTCAGTCGGAGTTTGATGTTGTTATATGTGATTTTCTTTTGCTTAATTCTTTGAACGGAGTCTTATTACTTGTTAACTTCAGAGTTTTTGTGGGGTTACCGTAGTTCCCGATTTTGTTGCTTAGTGAAACATCAATTATCGAGAATTTGGATTCTTTATGAAATGATACATCAATACTTGATGAAAAATTCGGATTTTATAGCATGTCTGTATAACTTGCTGTTAATAAGCATTAATGTTGAGGTATATCTTTCTACTCTAATTTAATGGGTTTTTATTATTTTTTGTCATTTGTTGATAGTTTTTTAGATTTTAATGTTTTGTAGAATCTCCAAAGCAAACACAAGCAAGAAGCAGCAAAGAATTGTAATTGCATGATTGCCGATGTTGAGAATGCTCTGGCCAAGTTTACGTAGGCCAAAGAAGCACAAAAGAAGATAGAAAATCTGAAGAAAGAAGGAAAACCAATGCCCAAGAGTCTTTCTGAGGTATCATGCCTTTTAACTTCTGTATTTAGACTACTCCTTACTTATTTGGTCAATTAAAACATTCAGAGCATCTTCAATTGAATGTCAAATGCCAAAATTTGACACCACCATTTTCCCGCAATGCTTTACTTGCTCAAATTTGGCATTTGGTTGTTTAGTAATTGATATGTTAATTCTTCACTTTATAATTACAAGTTTACAACATTACCATTTTATTGTTATTTAAAAATTTTAAAAATTATCCTTTTAGAAGTTCCAAAGCTCAAAATTTGTGACAAGAACTAGATAAAACATCTAAACTAGCATTATGGATTGGAGTTGGTATTTTTACATGTTTTTTTAGCGCCAAATTAAGCATTCACAGGAATGCTTGGCCAAAAGTGGACAAATAAGTAAGAATGCTTGGCGTCATCTTCATGTTCCAGATTACTTGTGTTGAGTGACCAGTTCCTGATGATGATGATGGCCCATAACATTGGGGTCAAACAGTTTTGCTTCATTTATTTTTTCCTGACTTCTCCATAGAAAAGGTGAGTTTTTATATGTTGATGAATGAAAGAAGTATAGATTTTGGTTTTCGAGTACTAATTACAAGGATAAGCTCCTTGTTTCTGGAATTTCAAGTGTTTATTTTCTTTATTGGTTTACCTTTGAAACGGCATTGTTGTAATCAAAATGCATAGTATTACTCTTTCATGTATGGTTGACACATTCGTGTGTGTTTTCTATATCGGGATTTTTTTCCTCTTCTTTTGGTGAATGTTTGTTTTGCTAATTTGGATAAGTTGATGTCGTTGAGTCCTAAATTTTGCTTGTTGTTACATTGGCAATTTACAGGATGGGCAATATCTTCGACCATCAGATCCTGCCTATGAGCAAGTACTGGATTCCTTAGCTATGGTTGCTAGACATACCCCGCTACCACTTTTAGAAGCTCTTCTAAAATGGAGAGAAAGGTGGGTTGTTCTATGTTCCCCCTCCTTTGAAGATGCGTTTCTCATTTCGGCCATTCTCTAGTTTATTGCTTCCCAGATTTACAGTAATGTAAAGTCTAGAACTAGAAAATAAGTCGACAAATTTATCATTCAAGCAAAATCGGAATCTACCCTGTTTTGGACCCCTTCACTTTCACGGCCACCACTTCATCATCCAAGCCAACATTTGTAATCAAGACGTAGAAGTGAGAACTTCCACTGAGTGTGAATCTCACTCCACCCTTCCTCGCACATTTCACCCTATCCAAAACAAGCAATGGCTTAGTTTGGTCGATTTGTCTAGCAATTTTTCTTTTCAGCTAAAGCACTTTGATAAATTGTAAGCCTTATCGTTTTCTTTCCCAAAGTTCAGAGTTGTCGGGCAAAAATAACCCCAATCCACAGGCTAATTTGTCCTTGATAATAAACCCATGTCTTTTTTGGTGCATTTCAAAGGTTGTTAGGCAAAGAAAGGAGAGAAATTAGTGGAATAGGAGTTAGAAGTCCCCTGTCTTTTTCAGTTGTTGGATATAGTGGAATGGTCATATTATGTTTAGTGTAGGCGAAAGTGAATAATAAGAGGGTTATTGAGATTTATTGTCTTTTATTTATAGGATTTTAGATGATTCATCTGCATTTGTAGCATATTCTTTCTTGGCTGCTGCATATATATTAACTATACAACCTTGGTAAATTAAGTCTATGAGTATAATGTTATGTAATTTTTTTTAAGCCCCGAGTGCGTGTAATATACCGCAGGATGTATTTACCGTTTTCTTGCTTTCATCTTTTCATTACCTGCTTAGTCAAACTAAGAACTTATTTTTGATTTTTCCTGCAGATAAAGGGCAGCTTACTTCTGATTTATGGAGAGGAAAAAAAAATAATACTGGTCAAGAAATCCCTTTATAACTGAAGGGTTATATTGCTGGCTCAACTTCGAATTTTGGAGTAGGTTGATAACGGATCTCAACTGCTTGAGAAGTTTGATTCTTGATCTTAGATTTTGGATGTTGTAACCCCATTGCCTTGGCTTTTTGAGTCTGTTGGCTCGCAATTGATTTGTTTCAAGGATGTTAATATTAGCTTGAAATAGTTTTACTTGGACTAGAATAGTCGATTCGGCAGGCCTCGAAATTTTGCACATGAATTCAATCATTCTTTTCTTCAATAGCGTTGTTGTAACCGGAAATTTTCTTGTCTTTAATTTATAGTTTTCTTTTGTATCCATGATTGAACATATTTTCTTTGGATTGATTGTTGATTCATTACAAGTGCAAGCTAGCAATACTGAGGTTCATGAGTCTTTTGTGTAGGGATGGCATCAGGGCATATATGCTTCCCCATCCCCGCCCTTATACCGCCTAACTTGAGTTGGGGTTGGGAATTCCTATCGGATTTTTCTCTGTACCCTACCAATTTATTCATTTCTTGCAACACAATCAAAACTCTTTAAGTAAATTTTATCAAATTAAATGTAGATTTTTGGGAAGTCTTATAATTAATTATCATTTGGTTTAGCTCGTTTCTTGGCATGAAATTTATCAACAAATTTATCATATTTTCTTGCAGATTTTTTAGAAGAACCCCACCAAAATTGATAATATCAAGACTACAATTGTTCCTGCCAAGTTTTGCAAGAGAGAGAGCACAAAACAATTTCACAACTCGAAGACTGCAACTGTCCCTGCCATATTGTCACTAATGCTCCTTTTAGTTGTAATTATATTGTGAATGAAGAAATGAAAAAAAAAATATAATTAACTATCATAAATTTATTGTTAAAAAATTCAAAATCATAGCATTATGTTTTTTTAAAGTTAAACAAATATTTTTAAATACTAAAAATAATTATATATATTTAAGTTTCATACCATGTCTATTTTGATCATTTTACATGCCCACAGTAATTCAACATCAAAATTTACTAAACGTTATTACACTGATTTTGAAACCAGTACAGCTACTATAATTACAGTTTACCAAAAACTCAGCTGCTTCTTGTAACAGCTGCTTCTTCTTTCAGCACAGCTAAAAATAATTTTTTTTTTAAATCTACAGCACTACTAAACTAAGCCAATATCAATCTAAGAATCATTTTCAAGAAATCTTACCTCAATTTTCCCTTTTTGTGAAGAAAAACCTTGACAACACCTTAGAATTCAATCTTTTCTCAGCATTAGATCATGAGAGGGTTTTGTTTTTGGTTTTGCATGGTGAAGAAGGGCTGGAAATCTTATTTTAAGGGAGAGGGGAGAGTGAGAAACGGGAATGAGAGATGGAGTGAGTGAGTTGAGTAAAACTAGTGGTTTTATAAAACTATTTGAGGGGGTTTAAGAAGTTTTTAATTTAAATTAAGGTATAATTTTATTTGGAAGTTTTTTATTATAATAAAAAAATTTAATTTAATTTTTTATGATAATTTTTTATTGTAATAAAATTTAAATTTTAAATTTAAATTGATAAATGAACATTACCGTAATTTTTATACTTTTCTTTTGCAGAGATACAGGGCAGTGAGACGGAGGTGCAGAGGGCCATTTTTATAATACTTGAAATGTTGGGTAAAAGCCTAATTTCTAAAAAGTTATGGGGAAAGTTAATAAAATTTGAAAAGTGACCAGGTTTTTATAGAAAACAATTTTAGGTAAAACTTTAAATTAACACTAATAACAAAAATTTAAATTAGGCACACTACTAATTACAAGTCTACGTAATTAAACACATTTAATTTACCAGTTGTTGCAAAATGATTGGTAGAAAATACTAACAGACACTAAAAAAAAAAAGAAATGCATGCACATTCACGTTTGGGCGGTGACCGGCATTTGGCCGGAGCTCCGGCGGTTGAGCATGCCGACATTGAAGTGGCGGGGGAGATTGTAGAGGAAGAGGAAAGGAACAAGACCTTGAAGGGCAAAATTTTTTTGGGTATGGAATTGTTTTCATTCAACAGGGGTAAAATCGTAATAACAAAAATTTCATTAAAGAGATTTTTTAAATTGCCACACAATCTAGAATCAGATTCTTATTATTGTTTACTCCCAAACGTTAAAAATAACTTTGGCTGGTTAAATAATCTATTTTGAGCTCTCAAAATCCCTACCAAACTAAGCCAGTGGCCATGAATTAGTGCACTTTATGGATACTTGTCTTTTTTTTTTCCTCGCTTTTTCTTGTGTTAATTTTAGCATATACTAGTGGAATACCCGTTCGTTGCAACGGGTAGCAATTTTATAGTATGTAAAGTTATTTTGAGTATGATGAAGGTTAAAGATGATTGTTAGATTAAAGAGATTGGAAATTTTTTTTCTTTTTTCAGTAAGGGAGAAGTAGCTAAAAAGTTTTATATTACATGAGAGCTTGATAATTTTTACAATACAAAAGCAGTTTAGATATACATATACATATTTGTACATAGATGGGTCTATATAATGTTCTATTAAATATGTACTTACATTGTGATTGAGATTTTTGTTGTCGTTGTGGTGCCTTGTTTTTCTTTTTCACCTATAATATGTATAATTTTGAAAAGTTAGTATTGATAATCGATGAAATTGACAATATTTTGATTTAGAGGAAGTGATATTACCTGGTCTTCGGTCGCTTTGTAGATTGTTCTGTTTTTTTTAATCGTGAACTGCAATGATGAGAATTTGTTTAGATATATATATATATATAATTATAAATATTGTGTTTGATTTATGAATAATGGAAATTAGTTTATGACTTACCGAACGGTTGATTTTTTTGGGTTTGGAGTTTGTGGATCCACTGGTGTCAGAGTTGTTGCTATTGTCTTTGTTTGAGAGCTGGTAAAATATAATTTAGATATTAGATATTATTTTTTTATTTGTTATAGGTACAATTTAATATAAATATTTTACCTTGTGGTTGTCACTGCAGTTGTTGATGTTGGTGTTGGTAGTGCTAAAGGATTTGTGTCTTCAAATATTTTGGAAACGATTGCATTTATTTGTGGTCCTCTTTGTTGAAAGTATAGTTGGAAAATCTTTGTTTGTCCTCTTAATTAATTTGTGATGAACAAATAAAATTATATTCTGATAATCATTATATGATTAGTTTCTGTAGGCAGTAAAATAAGAATATATTACTAAAAAATAGTATAAGTAGATAGAAAAAGAATATAAAGAAGCATAGTATTAATATTGTTGGTTAACATGCTTATCATTAGTAATAGCCATTGATAACATGTGAAACGAAGTCCCTGGTAATATCTAAATCAATAGAAGTGAAGAAAAACAGAATAACGGGAAGAGAAAAAATACAATAGAAAAAAAGAATGAAAAAAGTAGTAACCAAAAGGAAGTTCATAAGGGGCCAATATCATGGTATTTTTATACAGTTATTATTATTCAAGTCTTGAATTCTTTCATCAATCTGTGATGAACAAATAAAATTATATTGTTATAATTATTTTATAATTGTGTACTGTAGGCAAGTGGATAAAGGTATAATACTTTGTAAAGTATTTGATTCATTATACATATTATAATGTATATATGATAAAAAAAATAATAATGAAGCAGAGCAAGTGTTAGAATCGAACGTATCAAATTATTCAAAAACTGCCAAGTGAATTAAAAAAAAATGAAGGAAATGAGAATTCTTCCCAATTACAGAACAGGAACAAAAAAGAATAAAGTAAAAAATATACATTGATCCAATATAAAGAGGAACAACAAAGAAAACAGAGATGAATAGAAGAAAGTATATGACAAAAAGCTAACATTATGAGAAGCAAATTGTCCAAATATATGAGGAGAACGTAAAAGGCTAACAAATCCATCACTTACAAACAAAAAAAAAGAGGAAAAGGAACAAATGTGATGTAATATTATTATGAAAATAGTAAATTGAGCATGGATAAATAATTCTGATGTGGTTTTCTTATTACTATATTGTAATAACATCATAGGAAAAAAAATTTTAATTCAAGTAGCAATAGTAAAGATATAAGAAATTGTAAATAGTATAAGTACATAGAAAAAGAATATGAAGAAGTATAATATTAATATAGTTGGTTAATATCTTTAGCATTAGTAATAGTCACTGATAACATGTAAAACAAAGTTCCTGCTAATATCTAAATCAATAGAAATGAACAAAAACAGAATAAGGGGCAGAGAAAAAATACAAAAGAAAAAAAAGAATGAAATATGTAGTAGCCAAAAGGAGGTTCATAAGGGGCCAATATCATGCTATTTTTATAGAGTTATTATTATTCAAGTCTTGAACTTTTTCATCAATTTGTGACGAACAAATAGAATTATATTGTTATAATCATTTTATGATTGGGCACTGTAGGCAATTCCATAAAGGTATAACACTTTGTAAAATATTTGATTCATTATATATATTATGGTGTATATTTCATAAAAAATAATGAAGCAAAGTAAGTGTTAGAACCGGAGAGATGAAATTATTCAAAAATTGCCAAGCGAGTTTAAAAAAATGAAAGAAATGAGAGTCCTTTTCGAAATACAGAACATGTACAAAAAAGAATAAAGTAAATAATATAGATTGATCCAATATAAAGGGAAACAATGAAGAAAACAAAGGTGAATAAAATAAAGTATATGAAAAAAAACTAACATTATGAGAACAAAATTGTCCAAATATATGAGGAGAATGTAAAAAACGAACAGATCCATCACTTACAAACAAAAAAAGAACAGGAAAAGAAAGAAATATGATGTAATATTATTATGAAAATAGTAAATTGAGTATAGATAAATAATTTTGATGTGGTTTCTTTTATTACTATATTGTAATAATATTATAGGAAAACAAATTTTAATCCTCGTAGCAATAGTAAAGATATAAGGAATTGTTGATAACACAAAATTATGAAAGAATGTCACAAATACAAAGAAAATGTAGGGGACAAAAGCAATGAACAAAGAAAATAAGCTTGGTAAGAAGATAAAAACATAAATAAACATTTTAATTTTATTGAATAATAATAAAACTAATATAAAAAAACAATGGTAAATATTAATAACATAGGAGCAAGTATTAATAACAGAAAAAAAGAGAATTAAAGTTAGTAATAGTAGCTAGATCACTATGAAAAGTGTTCTAACTGTAAAATATTAAGCAGGCAAAAACAAACACAATTAATTAAGCATAGGTAAATATTAATAATATGAGAGCAAGCGTTAA